TTCATACATGTAATTGTCATTAAATTTTGCCATTTGTTAGTTCGTGTTTTTCTTCATTTTATGCCTTTATTGGTCTTTTGTTCCTCAGTTTTTAAATTTTTTATATAAGAAGTATAGTTTCCATTTGACTGGGATGTTTTACTACTACATCATTTTAATCTCTAAGTTCCCTTTAGAAATGCTTGCATTTGATATTTTCAAATCCTTTGCTTTTCATTTGGTCAGATTACTTATTGCTTCCTTTCATTACCTCTATAATTTGAGTGACATTTAGAAATCTCTTCCCTATAGTAAGCTTAAAGAAGACCTGTCATGTGTTCTTCAAGAAACTGTGTGATTCAAATTTTTGCTTAAATCTTCAACTAAATTTTTAGTTACTTTATAGATGGATTATTTCATGAATCTACTTTAAGTTTTTTTTCTAAAAGTCATACTCTGTACATTGCATGCCTGTCTTTCCTCTAGTGGTTTCTCCGCATCACGTTTGGTTTTTTAATTTTAATTATGTTTTTTGTGTATTTTTTTTTGCCCGCCTATATATCTGTGTAGCACATTTGTGCAATACCCATAGTAGCCAACAGAGGGCATCAGATTCCCCTGGAAGTGGGGTTAAGGATGGTTTTCAGGATTCAATCTGTGCCCTCTGGAAGATAAGCCAGTGTTCTTAACTGCCAAGCCATCATTTCAGCCCACTGCCTTCATGAAGCACTAATGTTCATCAGTGTTGACCGTTTCTAGGTTTTCTAACCCATTGCAACAGGCTATTTGTCTATTCTTACAGGCATCTTAGTGACAAAATGATATAATTTCAGACATTCTCTAAAAAGTTTTCATTTTCTTGGTATGGTATCAGGAATCCCTTCTCAAGTGTCTTCCTTCTCTCTTCTTAGCTATTCTTGTGTACTGTTTCATATATGAACTTTACTATCAGGCTGTCTAACTCAGTAAAATGTAGATATTTTTGAAATTCTATTAAATTTATACATCAACTTAGGTAGAATTTTTTTAATGTTGACTTTGTCACGAAAACATCAAATTTAAATGGCATTGATCCACTACCCTTATAATGAAATCCGGAGTCCTTATTCAATCATATCAGACACATCCACAACTGAATTTTGAACCAAAATACCGAAATATTTAGAGATAGTCCTAGGAACATGGTGACCTTGTAATGGAGAACAAACAGAAATTTCTTGAATACATTTCACTAACATTTGTAACAGTGTGTGGAGTCAGCTGCTTTGCTTCTTGAGACTGCCCAGTCCCTTTCTTTCAAGATTGACTTTTTCTTCATACAATAGAAAGTTCTTCACAAATAGGATTACTTAAACTCTCTTGCACCTTGAGCATGAACGAACGTTGTATCCCTGAGATTGAAATCCCGGAAGCCTCAAGAAAATATTAACACTTCCTTGTTCTTAACTATGATAATTTTATCTTAGTCATCAAGTTATTTTATCCAAGGACAATGCTGTAATATGTACCAGATGCTGTAGCAATGTACCGTATTAGGTAGGTGGTAAGCAACAACAATTTTGTTTTCTGATGGTTTCAATGTATTGGCTTGGAATTTTCCTTTATTTTGCTTATTCATGTGATACTACATTGTTTTAGACGCTAATTTAATTATGCTATTTTCTGTTTGTCAGTGTCATACATGTCTTTTAGAGGGTTTTGTTGTTGTTCCAGCAGTAGAAGAAAAACTTTGAAGCTTTCTGACTCTTTTATGTGTTAGAAGATCTTTAATGTCCCCTCATTTTCTTTCTTTTCCTTTAACAAATTTCTTTTCCATTAACAAATTTCTTGAATGTTTGCCCTATCCCCATCAATTTATTTTTCCGCAGAGTCTGTGTGTTTCAGAGATTGCAGTTTTAAACCCTCCATATTGCTTATTTGATTCTTATTTGATATTCATTATTTGTAATACATCTTAATGAGACTCATTGTGGTATGTACTTACCCATCTCTAGCTTGCATGAATCATATCCCAACTGTGTTTAGTCAACCGAACCCCTGTGGCACTGATCTCAAACCCTAGAAGTGAGTATTCCATTGTCAGATTGAGTATTTCTTAATTTCCACATGTGAGACAGCATACATCTTTGAATTGAACATTTTTGAAGTCTTTTCCCTAAACTGTCTGGCATTGTTTTGATTTTATGTCTTCTTTTTCATCTTTAGCCTTTATTCATGAATAGTTTTCCAAATATGCTTAATTTCAGCTTTAAGTTCTTAACCATCTTCCTTCATGTGTGTCTTGTGCAGTTTTGGTGTCTTCATCTGCCACAAATATGGTGATGGAAGTGAGACAAATCAAGGGCTATAATGTCATTTCTTTTTCACTTTAATCACAATTAATTTGATGTTTTAATATTTTCTATTGTGCCACTTCTATGTAGATTTATCTTTTTCTTCATCATAACTTACATACTACTGAGGGAAAATACTGGAAGTCATGTAGCCGAGTGTCCAAAATTGTTTCCTTCCTACTTACTACCCATTTCTAATGGCATTTTATCACAGACATACTATATATACATGGGAAGGGGAATAGTCACACACACACACACACACACACACACACACACACACTCACACCCCTTTATCCACTCACAGGTCAATTTCTAATCTGTGTCTAGATATTACTAGTATCTAGTGCTGGCTAACTGATTCATTTATTCTTTAAATATTTTCTACTTTGCTAGCACTGGTTGCAAAGAAGGCACTTGTGTGTTTTCCCAGAACTTTTAAATATTTCTTCTTCTGATTCAGGTTCACAAAGATGGATGCAAATAACCCAAAGAAACTGTTGGATCTTGCTGTACAGAGTCTGCTGAGCCATGAGTCTGCAGCACTCCAAGCTCTGGAGGATATTCCAAGAGATCTTTTTATTCCACTGTTCATTGCTGCCTTCGATGGTGGGCATAAGGATATCTTGAGTGAGATTGTGAAAGTTTGGCCCTTTTACTGTCTCCTCTTTGGGCCATTAATTGTACAGGAGCCTCAACATGAACTACTGAAAGCCATGATTGAGAATTTTCCTGTATGTCCTCCAAAGAACTCTGCTTCTCGGTAAGACTTTATAATAGAGACATGGTAAGACACGAGAGGTTTAAACCACAGCCTGCTACTTTTCCCAGAAATAACTAGTGAATGCTGAAGATTTATGTGTGAGGCTGTTGTCCCTTACTTGGTAACACATTAAAGACTGATGTCTTCAGTGTTCGTTATGAAATCTGTTATTGAAGGTTCTATTGGGTTTATACAACAGGCGTTTCGTAAGAGAAAGGAACTTTAAGACTGGAGGGGATTTAAGGTGTTTAAAGGATGGAAAAAGTAAAGGAGGTTGAATTTTCATGGGAAAGATTTGTTGCTAGTTAGTACAAGGAGTACCAGCTGTGGAGAAAAGGATTTGTTCCTATATGTCATCATTAATCCTGCTGAGTTTCATTATCATTTGCTATTTCTCAGATACTCTGTCTCCTCTTACCCCTACAGGACACCTAAACTGAGGATCTTAGATTTAAGGCAAGACACCGACTGTAGGACCACATGCCCTGAAATCAGCATCAAATCACCTTTCTGTTTTTATTCCTGTACTTATTCTGATCACTCTATTGCAAAAATAGAAGAACAGATTTGTTTTGAAAATTCAGGATCCATGATTCAGTCACCTAGGCCTGTAGAATTATTAGTGGATCTTTCCCTCGATGGCTCCTTAATGGAGAAGGAATTTTTGATTTTGCTCATGAATAAAATTAAGGAGAGTTCAGGGTCTTTGCACATATGCTGTCGAGATTTGCAAGTTGATAAATTGTGTGGCTGTAAATGCACCCTGAACTTTCTTGATCTCAAATGTGTTGATCAGTTTTCAGTTGATAGGGGTTCGCTGAGTGATATTACCAGCGTCCTGTCTCGGATGGCCCACTTAGAGAGCCTTAGTCTGTTTAAAGTCACTTTTAGATCTCTGAGTGGGAAAGTCTTTAAAAAATTCCTTGGTCACTTACGGCGTATGGAAAGCCTTAAGGAACTCAACTTGTCTTCATTCTATCTGAAAAACAATCTGGACAGAGTGCTCAGGTAAGAGTTTGGGGCTGGTCTCTGGGTTTCCTGGGAAGCCTGTTGAGGCAGGAAAGAAAGCACTTTTGGTATTCCTAAGTTCCTCAAAAACTTTCATGCTTTCCACTTTGTCACTTCTGGGAATTTGAAACTGAAGAAAGAATTACACTAAGTGGCCAACAATGTACAGATAAGTGGAGAAGTATAAAGGTGAACAAAACACTAACTCTCTAGATATGAGGAGTAAGAGGAATTGAGATAGGAGAAGACTTTTTTTGTTATAGCACTGATGCACATAATCATAGATGCCCTTAGTTCGCAATGTCAGATCACTTTGCTAATCTGTAATCTCCAAGGTATAGGCCATGAAAGTAGAGGTTGGTATTTAGGGACTGGCCAGGGAATTTTCAGTTGCCTGCTCATTCTGATACCTCTCTACTAAAAAGGTTAGCTGAAATTTACAATGGATAATATTGCAAGTATCAAGTACATTAGTTTTTTCTCTTAATATTTCTTAAAAATCATTTATTATACTGTATACATTCTTCAGATTAAAAGAATTGTATCTCAGTGTGGAAACAAAACTTTCAGCCACATGTGGTGGCACATGATCTTAATTTTAGCACTCAGGAGACTAAGAACGGGTAGATTCTGTGAGTTTAAAGCCAATATGGTCTCCATAGTGAGTTTCAGGACAGCCAGGACTACACAGTAAGATTTTGTCTAAAAAAATTTCTCAGAGTTACAAAAATATGAAGTGAAATAAAAGCACACATTAACACCCACTTATAATGCATGTGAAAAATAGTTTATTCTAGATGGAAAGGCAAACTTTTCCTCACTCAATCCTCATTCTTCGGTTTTTTTGTTGTTGTTGTTGTTGTTTTCTCCCTACAGAGTCCTGCCACCTGTTTTGGATTTCTTGTATCTGCCATTCTGTGATCTTTCATACCGAGACTTCAGATTTCTGGCCCAGTGTCCTCAGGCCTCCCGCCTAAAGCTGTTGAATCTCAGTAACAATGCAATGTATTGGGATGATTTTGAGCCCTTTAATGCTCTTCTGGGGAATCTCTCTGATACTCTTCAGCATCTAGAGATAAATCATTGCCTTATAGGTGATTCTGCAATGTCATCTCTTATCCCTGCCCTAATTCGGTGTACTCATCTCCGTGTCCTGGGCTTTGCTTCTAACCCCATCACAATGCCTGTGCTTGCGAATGTAATGAATAGTTTAACAACCTTGAAGAAACTAAAAATTGTGATTTATCCTATCCCTGTACATTGCTATGAACGATGGCATTTTCAGGGCAGTTTAGACCGAAGGAAGCTTGCTATTGTACAACTACAACTGAAGGCAATGCTACAGATTGCAGAAAGGAATGACATGAACTGGATCACTTACACAGAGTAAATTTCACAGTCCAACACAGTTTCAACCTGATAAGTACTATTTAAGTACTTAAATGCTATTTTCTGGACCCATACACTCAATATATAAGATTCTTACATTGAAGGAACTTACACTTAGGGAATATAGGTATGTAACTGATTCCTACACAGAATAATTTAGAAAATGGAGGACTTTGAGAGTTCCTGACACTCTTTTGTCTAGCATTGATATATTTCATTTTACTGACCACAGTGATGTGTATATAATACAGGATGATCAAATCCTAATTTTCTATGTCTCTACCAATACTGTTTGGTTCACTTGTTGGTACATCACACAAATTAGAACAATGACAGCTTTTCCTGCCTATATTTGTGGAAAAGGTGATGGCTTTTGAAGGCACATTTTCACCCCCTAAGTCACTTTAGTCTGGTTTTGGTTGCTTTTGGTAAACTATCAGGATTTAATAGTGGGCCAGGAAAGAAAGCAGAGGCTCTGAGGTTTCAATATAACCTTCAATAACATAAATATAATTAAGACAGCTTAATTTATTTTCACTGTATATATATATATATATATATATATATATATATATTTCTCTTTTACCTTTTGTTGTGCCTCATTTGGTATGGTACATACTAGCCACCTGAGCTCTAAGAGTCTAACTTAATTTTTTACTCCAAATTATAACATAATTATGAATTTAGTTTGCATGTCCCAGACTTACTTAGAAATAGTGTCTGTAAAGTCAGTCATTAATAATTTACACAGGGCTAAAGAAATGCTTCAGTCTCAGTCATCCAGTTGCTTACCACACAAACATGCCAGTGCTCAGATCCCAACCTGGCATTTGTGTAAAATGCTGAGTGTCAAAGTGCACACTTGGAACTCCAGTGTTGAAAAAGTGGAGAAAGGAAGATCCAGGCATTCTAGAAGACAAGAACATTCTAGGTTCAGTGAGAAATCCTGCCTCAGAAAAATATGCACAGAAGAAAACATAGATATTGACTTTTGGCATGCATGAGTGTGCACATGCATTAGCACACGCACACACACAAAAGCAAATGCATTCACCTTCTCCCACACATAAGCATGGAAACACAAAAATATCTTACTTATTAATTTCTTAAAACAGCATATTGCATCACAAAAATATGGCAAAGATATGAAATTAGCATTTGTTCCTTTTCACATGTTGTAATGCCAAAAATGGCTGCATTTCAGTGACTGAGGAACAAAGGAATAGACTATATTATTTTATACATAGTTTTCCTATTGAAATAAATTTTTAAAACCATGGCTTATATCTTTATATTATTTTCTTTTTTTTAGTGAGGTCATACTCGGTTTCAGTCTGACCACAAATAAAAGTAGCTGACTTTTTTTTAGTAGTGACATTGATAAATATATCAAACTATATTTTACAGGTGTAATACAATATGAAAACTGTCAAGGCAGTTAATATTTGATTTTCATTAATTTTCTTTTGGTAGTAACATTGTATTTCCAAGTTAGTAAGAAAAAAGGCACGTTAAAATATTCTGTAATTAATGTATCATATGTCTTAAGTGATATAACACTTCAAATTTGTTCATGTTTTTAATAATGCTTATATTATGATGCCAAACACCTACTAGAATGACAGTGTAATGAGCAATATACTTACATTGTTTCTAAGTTTAAAATTGTGGGGTTTTGACACATTGTGTTAAATAAAATATTAAAATTAAGTTTACCTGTTTCTTTGAACTTCTTTTTTTTTTAAATGTGACCCATACTATATATTTTCTGAATAAGCTTGGATCTCCTGCTCTCAGAAACATAGTTCTGAATAGTAGCAGAATACTGGGGACAAGCTGAGAACAAAACTAACCAGTGCAGTTGACCCCTGTCAACTTGACACATAAACATAACTGCTAAAGTATAACTTTCTTTGTTTAGCCCTAATATCTCATGTTAATATCACAATATAAGAGTGACTTTAAAAAATACTAAAGCCTTCAATTTTTACAGTACATTAACAGTTCAAGGTATCTTTTTAATATTAATTTTTATTAAAACCAATCTCATTTTACTTCTCAATTACTGTTCCCTCTCCCTCATGTCCTCCCGTTCCCCTCCCAACCCCCAATCCCACCCCCCACCCACTCCTCAGGGAGGGTGAGGCCTCCCATGGGAGATCATCAAAGTCAGTCACATCATTTGGGGAAGGACCTAGGCCCTCCCCTGTGTATCTAGGCTGAGAGAGTATCCCTCCATAGGGAATAGGCTCCCAAAGTCCATTTGTGCACTAGGAATAAATGCTGGTTCCACTGCCAGAGGCCCCATAGACTACCCAGGCTCCCCCAACTGACAGACACGTTCAGGGGGGCTTGGTTAGGTCCTATGCTGGTTCCCCAGCTGTCAGACTGGGGTCTGTGAGCTCCCACTTACCAAAGTCTCTTTAAAAATTCAAAGTTTCTTGACTGCTTTCCTGTAAAATTAAATAAGTTTATGAAAATTCCATAATGAAACCTGTTTTAGTATTTAGTATTTTTATATGCAAAAGACACATACACCTGTGAAATTCAGAAGACAACTTCCAGGAGGTGGTTCTATCTTTCTGCCAGCTGAGTCTGAAGGACTGAACTCAGGCTGTCAGGTGTGGTAGCAGGTACCTTTACCCACTGAGCTTTCTCCCGTTCTCTTTCTAACAGGTGTTTAAGAAGTTAAAAGTACCTTCTTTTGTGAGACAGTATAGATTTATCTGGTTCCAAATTATGTGAGATAGATTAACATAATCAGCTTACATTTTAATTTGTTACAAATCATGTTTTGTAAACCTACAGCAGTTTTTTTTTCCTCTTCAGCCTTAATTTTGAGAATTAACATTTTTAAAGTGCTGAAACTTAAATATTCCAGCAGAAGGCTCAAAGTGAACATTTCAATATGTACATTTTACTTAGACCAGACTGTGATAAAGATTTTGAATAATGAAGTTTTCAGGAGCCATAAAACTAGAAAGGGGGATGGAGATATGGTTCAGTGGCTAAGAACACTGGCTGCTATCCCAAAGGACCTGGGTTTACTTCCCAGCACCCACACTGTGGGCACAACAATCTGTAACTCTAGTTCCAGAGGGTCTGACATTCTCTTCTGGCCTCTTTGGGCACTGCACACATATGGTACAGAAAACTCCATGTGGGAAAATCACTAGTACACATAAAATAGAAATGAAAAAAAAATTAAATACAGAAAAGCAACAAGCCCTGGAAGGCCAAACCCCACATTTTTATTAGATTTGTTAGAAATAATTTAGAATGGTGTGGGCTTTGAAAATGTAATAAAAGGTTGTAGCTTTAGCTGTATTTTTCAGTTCTGTTTAGGAGACCTAGAGACAAATTACAGTCCACCATGGTGAATTAAGCAAAAGTTAATGGGATGTGATGTGATGTGATACAAACTTTTAAGTATGCATTTCTGGTTCACCAACACTTCCAGGTGAGTCTCACAGATGCAGTTATACTTATATTCTGGTACCTGTACATATAGGTAAGACTTGATGGCACTACTACACGTTAAGGTCAAGCTGTACCCCACCTACAAACCCAGGTGTATCTCCACATTTCACCTGTCCTACATCAATTTTTTCATGCTACAGCACATGGCTGTGATCTGAACTCTGAAATCACCGTTTTCTAGGTTTATGGCTTAACACACCTTACCCAGAAGAGAGAGCCTGAGGAATGCCCTGCCCCATTCAAGGAAGCCCTCTACTCCATGATGTCCAAAGCTCAGTTGCTTATTCACCTCCACCATGTCTCTCTAGCAAAGGAAAACCCAGTCCCAAACTGGCCACAAAGCTCAGGATCAGGGAACAGTGTTTTACTGCAATGGTCCCTTCCCCGTTGCAAAGCTGCCCCTTTTCTTCAAATAGTTTCTGTGTAAAAAACTACTCTGATTTTTCCTAGGATTTTTACATTTGACATTTCCAGTAATATTTATTACCTGTAGTTCCTCTTTCAGCATGTGAACAGTTCTGTGGCTTGGGATTCTTTTGCCTTGCACTCTGGTTCAACACCTATTGTTTTCCATGCATTCACACACTGGCACCATTCCCCTGTTCCTCAGCAGTTTCTGGTAACTCATTTGTTTTCCAAATACTCTCTAAAATTGAATAGCCCAGAGGAATGGGGAGATGCCTCACTGATTAAGTGCATTTGCTATTGACAGGAGATCTGAATTTGGTTCCAAGCACCAATGTAGATTGGCTCACAAATGCCTATAACTCCAGTGTTAGGTAATTTGACACCCCTTTCTTGAAGTTGTCTGTAATTTCCCTTGCATGTTCAAAACACACAGACATACACATATTCACACAATGAAACAAAATTTTAAGAATTAGGTTGCCAAGAAAAGACGATAATACTTTAATATAACAATATAAAATGTGAATATTTATTTGTACAGATTTTTTTATTTTATTACTATTGAGTCTTTCCATACTAGAATATAGAACATCCTTCCGTTGTTCAAAGCTTCATTAGTTGACTTTCAGAAGTTTTGAAATTTTCCCTGTTTGGCAAAGTTTATATAATGCTACCATTTTAACTCAGCTCCTACAAGAGAACACAGCAGACAAGAGAAAATAAGGTGACTCAATCGTTTAATCCTAGCACTGGGGAGGCAGAGGCAGGCGGATCTCTGTGAGTTCGAGGCCAGCCTGGTCTCCAGAACGAGTGCCAGGATAGGCTCCAAAGCCACAGAGAAACCCTGTCTCGCAAAACAAACAAACAAAAAACAACAACAACAAAAATACTATTAAAGCAAGATAAAACATTATTCGTTGGTGTTGTGGCGCACGCCTTTAATCTCAGCACTCGGGAGGCAGAGGCAGGTGGATCTCTGTGAGTTCTAGGCCAGCCTGGTCTCCAGAGTGAGTGCCAGGATAGGCTCCAAAACTACACAGAGAAACCCTGTCTGGAAAAACAAACAAAAAAATGATACAACTTTGCCAAACTGAAACCCTGTTTTCCAAAAAA